TAATGGATAAATATATTATGTAGGATCTTAGACCTTATACGATCTAACTTAATGGTGTTAAAATATTCAGACACAGAGGTAGGTGTCTCCGAAATTCGAAGAATGTTTTATAATTTGTCCATTTGTGTGTACGACGCCACCTCCCAAACGCTATATCCGTCTATTGTTAAATACAGCGTGTTTTTAAAACAGTAAAGCTGGTTTATTGTTTTTCGGCTGCATCCCACACCGATGTCCGATGCAGTTGAAAAACATTAGAATATTCAACAAGAACTCGTTCTAATTCGACCGCACTTTGATTCTGTACCGCTAAATATTATTCCGTTTATTATGCATTCAGTTCATGGTGTGATTTGAAAACCGTTAAAATTTAAATGACCCAGTCCTTATTACGAGGTGCTACGGCCTATTATTGCTCACGTATTTTGATGTATGGATCTGTCGATCGTTGTTTGAATTGCATTTGTGTAAATGAGTGCCACCCTCGCACTGACGAGAATGTCGTTTTGTTTATGCAACTTGTTTGCTTTTGTATCGAAGGTGCCAGTGGACACGGAAATCATTGGATTAATGTCAGCCGGTAATAAAAAAGAAATTATAAATTACCTAATCACTTCCCTAAAGCAAATGTTAAACATCACTTTCGAACATTCTTGATTACAAAATCATGATTGCTTCTTTGTTAGTGTTTACAGAAATTGCATACCTATTTGATACTGCAATGTTTTTATCAATACGTTCGTCAACAGAGCCATTCATATTATTTGTTATCAAAGCAATCCTGATAGTGTAGATTGATAGCGAAATTATCGTCATATTGATTTGATATTTATGTAGGCATTTCAATTCTATGTTTGATCTTAGTAACCTAATTTTAGAAATGTCATTTCAATAGCCAGATTTCTTGTACCAAAGTTTCGGTTTTTGTTCACATTCTAGTGCCAGACTCATCGATTTTCACTCTCAGCGCTACTGAATCACCACTACCTATTGTTAACACTTTTTTTGGGGTAGAAAATCCAATAAAATGAAATCGTCTGATTGATGAGACCGGAATACAAAAGAAAAATTGTTTATTTTTACTTTCAAAAAACAAATATCTACTAACTTTACTTAAATTTCGAGAGACTAATAAGTAAAATATTTAGTTGTTTCCTCTAACATTGCAAGGCGATTGCAACACATTGAATATCATTATGAAGTACTAATGTATTCAAAGGTTATAGTTTTCTATCTGCCCACCTCTCCAAGTTAGGTGGGCGACACTCGCTAAATATTTGGGCTCTTACGAACCCACGGCTGTTCTACATTACCTTATGCACTTGAGCAGATAGACAGATAATATTAGTTTCATTTACACCTCGGTTGATGATAAAAACAAACAGGTTGAATCAGAACAACTGATAAATCAATAAATTGAAGTTAATCCTTAGTGTACCGAGACACAGCTGCAAAACGAAGACGTAATCTTCTATTGATTTCAATTCATGAATGTATCTGCTCGTCCTACATAAATCGGCACGTATGAAACAAAGGAACTGAATAGCAAACCTTGACGAAAACTAACACAATGAACTCGTGGGAAATGCGAAAACGTCTTAATTAAACACATTTCCCGTTGTAAAGCGTAACAGTTAAAGCCATTGTGAAAAACCAGCTGATTCATATAAATTGCTTGAACGACAAATTGCTATACAAAAGGACTGGCACAATGTGTACTGTGTAGTTGATATTCGTTTATAAGCGGAGGTTTAATAACAGCGAGTGGTTCTGCCATTGTACCTCGACACGATGTGTAATAGCACAAAGAACAAACTACAATGGATGTCTTCGTTGGTCCTACCTAGCCTGTAAATAGCGATAGTTTCTAAGAACATGAGAGTTGAGACACTGATCGCCATACATCTTGTCTATGCGCTATTTTCAGAGTGTTCGCGTGCTGCTGCTCATTTTGCTAAGCTGTCTTCGATTATCCACTTAGTACTTTCATCTTTCACTTGTTAAGTGCTTCTGAAGTATGGAGAAATGTTATTTAATGTTTTCTTGTTATCTTGTACTGTACTTAACATTTTCTTTCATCCTATAGTTGCTATTCCTTTATTTCCTGTCCATAGCGTTCCGTCTTTACGAATGATTGGAGCCCCTAATGCGGCTACAAAGCTATAAACAATTCCATGTTCCGTAGCCATCAAAACTTTGATCATTCTAAGTAATGCCCTTCCCTGTTTTGTGCCCTTTCTAATCAAAGAACGAAGGAACTCACAGAAAAGGGTCGGTGTAATACAATTTTAACTCCAAATGTTGTAAAAGTACAACTACTGCAGTAACGAAAATAGTTGAAAAAGCTCTAAAAATATCGCCTAGAAACAGGTGATTAAGAAGTACAGGCAGCACGCAATGTTAAAAATGGTGTTGAAAGTCTAGCTGCTAGTATTAGGAAGATGGCGTGCCGCGACGTCGGTGTTCCACTCGGACGGTCGCGTGCTGCCATTGTGTAACTTTGCAGTACAATAGCCCCTGTACGCTGCACAGTGTACACAATGTAAGTGCACGGAATTTGCACTGCAAGCTGTGGATGCGAAATAAGAGTGCATATTTTTAAGAGCTACGTTAAGCAAGCCTTATGACCTGCAAAAAAACTAGAAGTATCTATGAGTTAAGAAGCAGTAGAAGCCTGTGTATTTTCGTGATTTTTATCAGTAAGCTGATACCTGAAATACTCTACTACTGTTTACTCCTCTAAATCCTAAATTTTATTTAAGACAAAGGAGATAAAGTTAATGTGTCATACATTATTAATCTCCAAATGGCATCTAAATTCAACCGAATTTGAACTAAGACAAAAATACTTGTCATAATTTCTCGTGGCCTAATTTCGTCTGAAAAAGTCGGCGTCTATAAGGAAAAGAACCAGCACGAGCAATTTGATCCTAATTACCTCTCATCATCGTAATAATCTTGGCAAGCGACACACGGTGCTTAAAAAAAAGTGAATCATGTTCGAAATATGAATATAATAACGCTTCCATTTTTGTGGTAACTGTCACATTGCGCACGCGACGAGCGTCCGTACGGGCAACGGTCGGTAATGTACCCTTTTGAACTGTTAATTGGTACTTCCTTCCCTCATTGAATTGTGGTGGTCTAGCTGCAATGCAGCTGTGCAGTAACAAGGCAATAATAAGCTGTGGACTCGTTATTACTCTCAATTGTCCTGAGTATAATGAAATTACGAAAAATGTAGCAGTAAATGTTATTGAAGTGGCTACTGGCCAAAATTAGAAGTAATTTGTATTAAAGAAGTCACAACTTTGGGTTGGACAATATGATATAGCTTATCAACCACAGAATCCAAGAATATCATTTTAATTTTCCTCAGAGCTATTACACAAACCCGGCAAGCTCCTTATCACATTATTGATCAGTCAGCTGAGGAACAAGTACAAACAAACATAGATAACCTTGAATGATACCTTCACAACATCCAGTCTTCTTATGAACGGCCTTGACGAGACGCACCTTAGACTGCGTGATGTAGTTGCGTTTATAAATTAAAATTTTACGATCTTGTTTGCAGTCCTATGCTAATTCGTTACGTCAGGGTCTTATTCTGAGGAAAATAGGGTATGATTTCGAATGACTTGATGATTCTTTTTTTTATCGTCTTCTACTTTCTGTTCTTCAACTACAATCTCAGGAATTCCAATTGTATTTGTATATCCGTTTATGGATTTTCCGGTATCCATAGTAATAGGTAGCTCTTAGATACACAGTCGTTATTTATGGTAAAGATTGTAACTTGGTTCACGTTTACATGTCGATGTAAAGCAATAAACTGTACGTGACTGATATGTTAAGTTGTACGACGTTTGCAGACCTGATGGGTGTAACACGAACGATTTATGACTTTGCAAATACTATGCTCAAAGTAAAATCTTTGGAATTGTTTGATTTTTCCTCCCATTCAATTTGTTGAAGCCATCTCCAAGCATTCCAATCAGAAATCGTATGTATGAGGTACTAAGATTCAAGGTGAAGTGAAACAATTACAATGTCTGATCCTACAATTAGAAGCGCCACTTGTCTCGTTGTCATGTGAGCTCTGCACGGTCTGCACGTTTATAGTATCAAGTGTCAAAACAAGTGCTTCACTTTTACGAGGTACTATGGCGTTAGATATTTTGCTGTCTTTAAAACAAATGGGCACTCGTTCCTCAATGATTTAATTTTTCTTCTATTATAATAGTTTGAGATCACATGTTTGATCCTTCTCGCAAATAAAAGTAAAGAAATTATTTTTCTAATTATGTTTCTATCTATTCCATTTAAAAATTAATCGATTTATGTTAAGAGGTTCACACTCTTCCTAGAGTGGAATGTAATTGTGAATAAATTTCAAAATTGATAAACCCATTAAGTTCTGTTTCAGTACGGTATCAGTCATTAGACCTTGGAAGTTATAGATATTATTAAAATAGTCTTGTTATTTTAGCCTTATTGAAAACAGTTATATCCGAAGAACAAATCTTCCAAAAATTTTGAGAATATTTCCTTAGAGTAAAGCGTAAACAAGTATACTTTGCTGATTCTCTCGTGTGACAGTTAGCATTGTTTTCTAAACTTAGCCTGTTTGGTTTATCAACTTTCATTGACTCTGTCTTGTAAGCAGATTCTTATGTAATTTTCTCACACTTATCGCAATATCATTACGTATGATGCTGTCATATTTTAATTAAAGTTTAGTTTTAATTTATCGCACAACTACTCTCTCATACTAATGAGATTAATCAGAAATACACCATAGCAACTTTAATCTATTTTCGTTTTGTTTCAAAATAATAATACGACTTCGTGTCGTATTATTATTCCTCATCGAAGAAAGGTTTACTGTGCTTAAGTAGTTCCTTAATTTGTCCACCAGAAACCAAATACTTTGATATAATTGGCACACGCGATTTATTATTTTATCCTTTCTTATCTTTTATCCTTCTTTCTTCCAGGATCCGTCCACAGACACCAGCTGAGGTGGTCGAGGGTTGTGGTATATGTGCTCGAGCTGGCGGACCTGCTGGCGAGGGTGGGGTAGCCCTGGGATCAGAGCGCGCCTTCACCTTCGACTACGCCTTCGAACCATCATGTTGCCAGCAAGCAGTATATGACACTTGTGTCAGGAAGCTGGTGGAAGCAGCCTTGGATGGATACAATGCTACCGTGCTTGCATATGGACAGGTTGGTGGATTTTTAACATTAGAGTGCTGTTGATTATTGTATCTATGTTATTTTTGGTTGATTATGAACGTTTGGGTCGTGTTATTCATCAGCAATATTGTCAATATTTAGTGGCGACGCCACTTCGTTTTCGATTATAATGCTAACGACGCGATACGCATGAACTTTAACAATATTTATGTAACTTGGATAAACATTGATATTTCTGAAATAATCTTAATACTTAATGCTAATCTACAATGCCATGGAAGCAAAACCAATCTTATAAATCGTCTAGTAAAGTAATAAGATATGACTTTATCGATTCATTTTTCAATTTAAAAGTACAATAAAATTCAATTCTGAAAGTACATCGACCTGAAAATTCACTGTTAAAGAAAGTTAGTTTCGTGCAAAATTATTTGATGTTGTCATCCAAATATGTATTTATCATGCAAACTTTGAAGCTTTATGTTCGTTTTTTCTTAGCGAAACTCGTCTACTATTGACCTAGTTGTGCTAAAAATATGGAAGAACACTTGTTTGTAGTGCAATTGTTGCATCTCACGAACGTGTTGAGTCGCCGACGCCGACAGTTCCGCTTCGCTTAGAGGTAGCATTGTATTCTGAGCATCTCTTAAAGGTTAAGGCTACAGAAGTGTTTCTAGTAGTTAACTATCATATTATAGGTTTTCTCTAGAATGTTCTCAAGGGTTTCTTCATCAAGAAGACGATTTATTTTATAGAAATCTTACCTTATTCTTCCTTTTTGTCCGTGTTCTCGGTTAAATTATAATTCTGCACTGAATCTCAGCTAGACTTAGTCTAAAGACTCAGTCTATTCGCTAATCTAAGAGACCGTAAAAAATCTTTCAAAAATACGCCTATCTTCTTGTTTATTTCAATGAAAAATGTCAATTAGCACATTATCATGGCCGCTGCCCACTTCATTAGAATTTCTGCTCATTTAAATTGCCATGGGTTAACCCCATGAATCACTCGTTGGAGGCTTGGCACGTTGTCAGGACTTCGTACACGACCAGCTAAAATGAAATCTTAATAATATTGTCTCGTGTGTTCTCTTAGACATTTGAGATTAGGTGCAATTAATTGGCTGGAACATATTTGAAGAACGCATTGGTCACACCCGGACTCATCTTGTATTGTTAATCCCTTGTCGTTGTCGTAAATTAACAATAGAAAGACATAATAAGTGGCATTTGCATTATTTGTCAAATATCTTAGTTTTGAAATATATTAGGTTTCTGTAGATAGAACACAGACTTTAAAAACTTCAATCGATATATGCATCAATCAGGGTGCAAACTACGCTATACACACTCGTAGTTAAATCACCTTCTTCAGTGCGCAGTGAAGTTAAGGCCAAGTTTCTTTAATTTCTTAAACTACTAATGGCAAATCTACGAAAGATTACTTTAGACACGTTATTATTCCCTTCGATTACAGCAACTATGATATAAAAAGCAGTACGCATAACAATATTACATAAACACATCTAAGCGAAATGTGGTAAACACTGTCCCTTGACCGACTTTTAAAAATTGTAAATACTAGTAAAGGCACGGTCTGATGACCTGAGCAAGCATGATGAAAGAGTGTTAGGAGACAATGGATATTTAACGCTGGAGTTCAAGGTAGACACGAGAAAAGGTGTAAAGAATAAACCCATTATATAAGAGGTCGTGTCGCAGTTAATTGAGATTAATTAAGAGTAGCAGGAAAATGCTGTCTCCGAACAAATAGGTATGTCGCTAGAGAATTTCACACAAATATAGTTGAAGAAGATTTAGCGATTTTTCCTCTATATTCCAACATTTTCATTTCTTTAAGAATTATGCGGAAGTATAGTTATGTAATTTGTCCTCAAGATCCACAACAAAGTTTATAATGAAGGGAATCCCTGTACTGTGGTCACTTATCCCTGCAACTTGGTAAGGGTCTTAGCTAGATAAGTAAACCGCTCAGCCCATATAAAGTTACCACAACAATTCAATTAAAACACCGTGAAGGCCGCTACAACTGACATTAATTACTCGTCACATACTCAGAACAGTATGGCTGTTAGTTATCTTTTTATTTAAGTAAACAGCTGTATCACTTGATTAAAATCAACTCTAACTTACCTTAGGTATACGGTATACTAGACTTTTCTGAATCCTTGATATTAGAGGTTGTGCTAATGAGAGCTTTTTCATTAACCTAAATTCAGGTTATTCCTTGCTCAAAATGTAATGCTGTTTTTGGTATTATCTTGTCGTTACCAAATGTCATTCGTTTCTTGGGACACATCTGACGACTCAGTCTAGGTAGTTTTCCTAAATTTTTAATTAGATTTCAGTTTTGGAAATGCCCTTAATATGAAGGCGAGTGTCCCGAAAACCTACATGTTTTTATTACTTAACAAAAGCCGTGTAGAATTTCATTTCGTTTGCATATAAAACTTGACATTTGACTGCATAATAAAATAGGATACGTTGCAAAATACTTGTAGGTACGCTATAATGAACTTTGGAGTCGGGTTTAACGTTCATAAAGTTTAGGATCGAAACCAGGAAAAGAAGCCGTATTACAACGAAGTAAGTATTGTTTACAACGTGAGATATTTAGTAGATAGCCATTAGACTTATTATTTAAAATTTAATACCGTGAATCAGGCCGTGTTTATGAGAACTATGTGTCTATTTTACCAAAGACTTGAGAATTGTGATGTTTGATAATATTTTCCCAATCAAATGTCATAATATTTACATTGTCTGGCTTCTTTGTCTTATTGTCTCCTATCATCTCACTTCTAACCTGGTAGTCCAAACCTGTCCAAAATTGAAGAGAAAGACCTACTAACCTAAAATAACTTAATTAGTTACCTTGAAGTTCCCTCAGAACTATTAATTGCTCGATGACATATTTAGGCTAGAATTTTACGCAATCAATATTATAATTAGAGAATTTTAGGTCAAGAACATACTAAAATGTGTGTTCGGTGTAATGTGGGTAAAGTGAGTTAGCCATTCTTGGATTACGTAATAAATTGATTCGGTACTATATCCTATTTTTACCAGCACGCACTTTTCATATCTGTAACCTTTTTTATCATTATGTGTAGGTCATACGAATCTTTTACTTTCTTTCCCTTTTGAAGTTGAATATATTTATCAGCTATAGCTATCCGCCATAGTTATCATTTATACTTTAAAGTGTCACATCCTACGACCAACGATATCTTCAACAAAATTTAGTACCCTTAAAAAGGTTGAACATATATGGTTACTGAACGCTTAACCTCTCGTCTGTCTCAATTCAGATCTACACGAGATGCAATCTATTTCTCTTCGTGTCTCCTATAGAACCATTCGGGTTAGTATTTCGATATCACCAAGAAAATGAATTTCTAAACCCAACACAATGATAATATACAGCGCCATACACCATACTAGTAGCTATATATTATGATTGTAAAACCCCACCCAGTATTGCGTGTATGGCAACAATTTGTTAAGCTGTACAGTAGCAATATTGCCATTATAACTTGTGCGATAGTCTTGTAATAGTCCCAAGCTAATTTGTACTGGTTGCACCAATCAAAGGCTTTACTAAGATCTCAGAAACAATGCTTGTCCATTTATTTGTATATGCAGCTGCTAAGTTCTTTGTCTCTTTCCACCAAGATATTCATGATAAAAATTTGTATTTCACTTCAGTTTAACAACAACATTAAAGTTTTATGGTTTTTATACACCAGCAGCTTTAATTTGTTAAAGCTATAACTGGAATTCAACGGCACAATAAGGAAATGTCTGAAATCGAGTAGTACACACCTGTCGTGTTGTAGCAATTATTGTAGTTACTGAGTATTAAGATGTCGGTCCTTAAACGATTCAGCGATTTTATAGTACGGGGAAAATTGGCACTACGTCATGACCAATTTGTAATGAGCTATTTCGTACCAATACCAGCAGTGTTCAACTGGCACACATGCTAATATTGCCTGATTGTACGCCCACACTCGGACCACATAAATTATGCTCGCCCCTTTCAATATATTATGTACAACGCCAACATTTATAGGGATAAATTGACAGGAAGTTTGCGTAAAACTGCGGAGGGGAAAGGGCTTCTCGTCATATATTATATCGACCCTGTTTTGAAATGTTGCTGTCGATACAATTCATAGTGTGACTGCTATTAATTGTTATTTATTAGATCTTCACCGAATGTTATCCAAAGCTATGCTTATGGCGCACTAATTTAGTTCAGTGTCAGTTATCAATTGCATCAATTTCGAGCAATGTCAGAAAAACATAACTAACAACACAACGTTGCAATTGTCTCTGCAATAACTTTCTCGAAAAACCGGAAACAATATCTTGTATTCCACACAATGTATGTAATAAATCTACAAACCGATGAAACCGTGATCCTATAAGACGTTACAAATGACGTAACTTCCGTGCAAAACATATCTACGTTCAATGTGATTTTATCTGGCGTGCAAAGTGGTCTCACCATATAGGCTTGTAGTAACTCGGCGTGCGGCCCACGTGCGTCCACTAATTATGTTACGTTACAAAAACTCAATGACAGAACAGATTATGATTTGCATGCGGCGTTAACAATAAAAGTTGAGCAGACCTGCGCAGGCGGCGGTCCTTGCCGCCCGAGCCCGCCCACAACGACCTCCTTGCGGAATGCCGCTAGTCATGTGCTTAAGTAAAACATGAATGCTTTATATTAAGTACTCAAAATCCTTATTAAGTTAATTCATAATTGCCCAATTTACAGTACTGATGTCTTGCATTCGGTGCAAAATTAATTGGACCCCTTTTATCGCTGAGTATAATGATCGAGCCAAAACGTATCTTGATTAAACGATACTGTTTAATTTTCATTATCGCTTCATGTGAAAGCATTGCCTCTATATTTAACTGAAGCTTGCAGCTCAAATACTCACACTTTAATTTGCTTTGTAGTACATGCAAGCAATCAGCCCTCTCTCCTATTGA